TGGGAAGCCTTTCTTGACCTCCCTCTTTAGTGCTCCCGTGTTAGCTCCTTACCATTCTCTCACTGGATTCTAATACCTATTCATGTGTCTCTATTCCTGTTAACCTTTAAGCTTTCTGAGGACAGACACCATGGCTTGCTCACAATTGTATCCTTAAGATATGAACCACGCCTGGCACATAGCAGTCTATCAATAAATAATGAATTTACTAATAAGATTCCATTCGCAACTCAAAATTACCTCCCTTAAATTTCTGAAACTTCAGCCAGGCGTGGTGGCTCACACCTGTAATCCCAGCACTTTGGGAGGCTGAGGTCGGTGGATCACCTGAGGTCAAGAGTTTGAGACCAGCCTGGCCAACAAGATGAAACCCCATCTCCATTAAAAATACAAAAAATTTAGCCGGGCATTCATGTCTGTGATCCCAGTCACTACGGAGGCTGAGGCAGGAGAATCACTTGAACTGGGGAGGCACAGATTGCAGTGAGCCAAGATTGCACCACTGTACTCCAGCCTGGGTAACAGGGTGAGACTTGGTCTCAAAAAAAAAAAAAAGAAATTCTGAAACTTAATTATCACCTGTTGAAACTATTGTTAAAATTCCTGAAGTTTTCTCTTAACATCTGTAATACTGTGACCACCTTTCCAGACACAGAGAACTTAACCACATTTTAATATTTATTTATTTATTTATTTTGAGACAGAGTCTCGCTCTGCCGCCCAGGCTGGAGTGCAGTGGCCGGATCTCAGCTCACTGTAAGCTCCGCCTCCCGGGTTTACGCCATTCTCCTGCCTCAGCCTCCCGAGTAGCTGGGACTACAGGCGCCCACCACGCCGCCCGGCTAGTTTTTTGTATTTTTTAGTAGAGACGGGGTTTCACCGTGTTAGCCAGGATGGTCTTGATCTCCTGACCTGGTGATCCACCCGTCTCGGCCTCCCAAAGTGCTGGGATTACAGGCTTGAGCCACTGCACCCGGCCTCACATTTTAATATTAACCCAAGAGAAAGGAAATGTTCCGTACAAAAGAATATGAATGAGGCCGGGCACAGTGGTTCACACCTATAATCCCAGCACTTTGGGAGGCCAAGGCGGGAGGATCACCTGAGTTCAGGAGTTCAAGACCAACCTGACCAAAATGGAGAAACCAAGTCTCTACTAAAAATACAAAATGAACCGGGCACAGTGGCGCATGCTTGTAATCCCAGCTACTCAGGAGGCTGAGACAGGAGAATTGCTTGAACCCAAGAGGCAGAGGCTGCAGTGAGCTAAGATCATGCCTTTGCACTCCAGCGTGGGCCACAGAGTGAGACTCCGTCTCAAAAAAAAAAAAAAAGGAATATGAATGGAAATTGGCCATCAAGCTAAATACTACAAACATGACAGTTCCTAATTTTTATAATAAATATGTACTCACTCAACAATTTGAAAGATTAAGGCCTCTTCTACAACTGAGGTTCTATAATTTTCTGAAGTATGTGATTGCCACTATGCACAAAGCTCTATGAATTTCTGTACCAGTAACCTCTTGTACCCTTCTTAGCCTCTACTTTCTATGCCCTCACATTTGTCCTTACCTTCTAGTTTATTTTGCACCTGTTCTATAGTGTCTATGTATCCCTCACCTTCACTCCATGAATTACTCTGATTACACATGTGCACTAGTTATATGTGTGGTAGATGTCAGCCCAAAGTTGGTGCTAATGGAATACTGCCATGGCTCAAAATACATTTTATTTTATTTTATTTTATTTTATTTATTTTTTTGAGACAGAGTCTCGCTCTGTCGCCCAGGCTGGAGTGCAGTGGCCCGATCTCGGCTCACTGCAACCTCTGTCTCCTGGGTTCACGAGATTCTCCTGCCTCAGCCTCCTGAGTAGCTGGGATTACAGGCGCGCACCACCATGCCCAGCTAATTTTTATATTTTTAGCAGATACAGGGTTTCACCATGTTGGCCAGGCTGGTCTCAAGCTCCTGAACTCCAGTGATCCACCCGCACTGGCCTCCCAAAGTGCTTGGCATTACAGGTGTGAGCCACCACACCCGGCTTCAAAACATTCTTTAAAAATTGCTATTTCAGAATAGATCCAGCCGCATACTTTTCCTTCATGTTTTGAGAACTGATATGACTTCTGAAAGTGTTCAACAGTAATTCAAAGCCATGTATGATAAATCAGAGGAGATCAAACAGTAGTATTGTAAAATGTGGAATGACTATAAAAGTAACAAGACTGGTTTTCTTAGGCAGCAGTGAGCTGAAATCACACCACTGCGCTCCAGACTGGGTGACTTAGTGAAATTCTGTGGGGGGGGACCCAAAAAGCAAGCATAAATGGCAAACCATGCTGCATATAGCTTCTCAGTATGGTTACTACAAAGGTCGTAACTTCTCTTGGCCACCTGCTTATCAGTCTGACCATGCAAAAACTGTTTATGGCATAATGTTAGTGAGAATTCCAGAACTGTGTCTTCTAGTTGGGCATGGCAGCACACGCTTGTAGTCCTAACTTGCTCTGAAGGCTGAGGCAGGAGATCACCTGAGCCCAGACAGTAAAGGATGCAGCAAGCTATGACTGTGCCACTGTACTCCAGTACTCCAGCCTGGGTGACAGAACAAGACCATCTTTAAAAAAAAAAAAAAAAAAAGAAAAGAAAAGAAGAAGAAATCTCAGAAATTGTATATACTATGATCTACAATGTAAAAATAAGTACATAAACAAGAAGTGGAATATGTAAAACAAATATTGCTGTTGTGAGGAGGAGGATTAGTTATTTTCCCTTTTATCAAAATTATTTCAGCCAGGTGCAGTGGCCCACGCCTGTAATCCCAGCACTTTTGGAGGCCAAGGTGGGTGGACTGCTTGAGCCTAGGAGTTCAAGACCAGCCTGCGCAACAAAGTGAGACCCGTCTCCACAAAAAATATAGAAAGTTACCCTGGAGACTGAGGGGGGAGGATCGCCTGAACCCAAGAGGAGGAGACTGCAGTGAGCCACGATCAGACCACTGCACTTCAGTCTGCGTGGCAGTGTAAGACCCAATTCATCTCAAAACAACAACAACAAAAAAAAAAGTTATTATGATATTGTCTTTTTAATAATCTCTTTTTTTGATCAGCCATTACTGAACCAGGCACACTGATGTGCACCTGTAGCCCCAGTTACTGGGAGGGCTGAGGCAAGAGGATGGCTGAGCCCAGAAGTTGGAAAACAGCCTGGGCAACAAAGAGAGGAGACCTCCATCTCTTAAAAAAAAAAAAAAAAAAAAAAAATCAAAAATCAGTCATTATGTCATACTCACTGAATCAGAGAGAGATCTGTTCTATTCAGTAAGAAATAAGACTTTTCCAAAATCTTTCAATTTTCCGTTCTATTTCTAAATGCCAAAGAAAAGATAAGACTCACATTTATTTTAATTTTTTTCTTTTTCTTTTTTTCCCTCCTGCCTAAGGAATAAGGACTCACATTTTTGATGATGCATTTGTTTTTACAAGAATGTTGAGCTTCCAAGTAAAACCTCTGTGAAATCAGAGCATAAGCGATTAAGGTCACTATAATTCATCCAGCAATTAGTAAATGTAAAATACTTTTTAATCATAAACACTACGATTTAAACATATGTGGAGAGAACTCCAAAAAAATTCTTTTTAAGGCATGTAAAAAAGGCAAAAAGAAACCAATCATGTGTTTCTAATGGTTAATCACTAACTTGTAAGAAGAATCCCAAAAATTATCAATAGAAATTCACAGCATTTCAAGAACACTCTAAGATATCTTCCCTCTGTAGATTTTCAGGTATCATTGTCCACTGACTGAGGCCTCCAACTTGATCCAGAAATCAAGCTGTGTAGACTAACAGAAACAGAATTAAAGCAATTAAGTGAGTCAATTCACCTCATCACACTTTGGTTTTTTTGTGCACCTAATAAAAATGTTGCAACAGAAGTAGTAAAGTGACGTTAAACCAATCAGAGTTTGGGAAGACTAGTAATTAGCATAAGAAACTGAAAATTAATTAAGTGGCTTTTAGGGCCAGGCACGGTGGCTCACGCCTGTAATCCTAGCACTTTGGGAGGCTGAGGTGAGTGGATCATTTGAGGACAGGAGTTCAAGACCAGTCAGGCCAACATGATGAAACCCTGTCTTTACTAAAAATACAAAAATTAGCCGGGCCTCGTGGCAGGCGCCTGTAGTCCCAGCTACTAGGGAGGCTGAGACAGGAGAATCGCTTGGACCCGGGAGGTGGAGGTTGCAGTGAGCCGAGACCGTGCCACTGCACTCCAGCCTGGGCAACAGAGCGAGACTCTGTCTCAAAATAATAATAATAATGTGGCTTTTTTTCCTTCTTTTTGTTTTTTGAGAAATGGTCTTGCTCTCCTGCCAGGGATGGAGTGCAGTGGCATGATCAATTCACTGCAGCCTTGAACTCCTAGGCTCAAGCAATCCTCCCACCTCAGCCTCCCCAGTAGCTGGGACTACATGTCGGTGCCACTACATCCAGCTCACTTTTTTTTTTTCTGTATAGATGGGGCCTCACTATGTTTTGCCCAGGATGGTTTCCAACTCCTTGCCTCATGTGAATCTCCAGCCTCCGTCTCCCAAACTGCTGGGATTACAGGTGTGAAACACCGCGCCAGGCCCAAGTGGCATCATAAACTATCTCTAGGAAATCTAAAGAAAGGATTAATAGTGATATTCACTTCTCTATCAGATTCACTGCGAAAATTTTTCTATATAAGCATAACGCATCAACACTAACTTATATACACAATAATCTTCTCCACAGCAATGATTGGTTAGACATTACGAAATCCTTTATATATTTAATAATTCAATCCTTTATATCTTCAATAATCCAATCACAAAGTTTAAAAATATTAAGAGAAGTTATCATGTAACTCCTCACCCCAATTTCATTACAAATTTTACTTTACTAACTTTGACCTGATGTTCCATGCCCACAAGCTAGATAACAATGCGTCCAATATCTCGTTATCACTGCAAAGCAAAAAAATAAAGCTAGCTTTAATATAAAACTTTAACTAGTATACAACCTGTAGTAGTTAAAACAATATAAAATTTTACTTAACCAGATATTGCACGTTAAACTCTAGGAACATTAACATGGAAACATTCTCCGCATCTAACACGTTCCGAGATAAAGTACAGATCCGTCAAGAAAGGGAACTAACATTCTGACCTCCTTCCAAAATGACAAACTAGAACGGCAAAATTACACTCAGGCACACTGGAGTACTCTTCCCTCAAATCCCTCCACAGAGCACTTCATCATTTGCTCCGCCCTCTAATAACTCATGCAAGAAAAGTTCAGCACCATCAGAGAGAAACAAGACACAATTCAGAGAACGGCTTTAGGGCCTTTCCTCCAGGCGGTAAGAGGATCTGCGTGTGCCCTTCGCAGGGGTCCAGAGGGAGAGAACAACCTAGGCCTAGGGTTTCGGGGATACTGACACCCAGAAACAGATTTTCTCTCAAAGAAGTTTCTGCCGCCATCCCTATCTTATCAGCAGGAGGCCCCGGCGCCATCGTCTCCGTCTTTATGATTTTATTATGGGGAGGTGGGAAACGCCACCCAGGATTCCTCCAGGCCTCCCCGATTCAGCTTCGGGGTCCCCCTCATTCTTCCCTCTAAGCCGCAGTCCCCGAGGTCCTCCTCGGCACCCCCGCTTCTGGCGGCCTATCCCCCGGGAAGTGGACGGGCACGGCCGAACCCACCGGCCTCGCCGTGAAGGCGGGAGGGCCCGAACCCGCCAGGGCCACGGCGATGGCTCCGAGGGGCCCGGAAAGGGGAAGGGCAGGCCGGGGACCGGGGCAGGATGACCTGGCCGGGGGAGAAAGGAAAACGGAGGTGAGGAGACGCACCGCCCCGCAGGGCTGCACGGAGAAGGGAGATGATGAAGGAGGAGGAGGAGGGCGGTGGCCCGGGTGCGGCCCCCCACTCCTCCCGCCCCCGGGTCCCCGGGCCGGCGGGGGCGGCGGACTCGGCCCATTCCCAGGTCTGGGCTGGCGGGGGGCTGGGGGATCTCCCTCCACACTACTAGGAGACAGAGAACGAGGGTCTCGGGAGCGCGGGGGCTGTCTCCCGCCTGAACCCGGAGACCCCGACGCCGTCGTCGCCTCTTCCTCAGGAGGGAGGACGGGAGCTGTGGGTAAAGCCCGAAGGAGGAATGCCCGAAGGTGAGGGGAAGCCCGGGGCAGACCCGCCGCCCGCTCCGGACCCCCCCCTCCACCTTCCGGTAACCGCGTCTCTTACCGGTGATGGCGGTGAACTGTTGAATTAACCCCTTCAGCGCCGAGGACGCCGCGGAGCCCCCGTGGGCAGCCATCTTACCGCCGCCGCCGCCGCCGCCGAACAACAACACAGACACACACGGACCGCCCTCCCCCACCTCGCCGCGCGGTGTGCGCAGGCGCATTGACCGCCCCTCAAGCCCCGCCCCCAAGCCCCGCCCCTCCCGGCCCCCCTCCGGCGGTCTGCGCAGGCGCACTTGCCCACCGGGCCGGAGCGCTCCCCGCTCTCCGGTTGGCTGCTCGGTTGCTGCCTGACCGGTGCATCGTTTTTGCCACTGCTGGTGCTTTCCTCTCCGGGCTCCAAGGCTAGTCTCGCAGGCGCAGTGTCGATTCCTACATTCCGAAGGAAGCTTCGGTCTTGGCAGATATTTCGCGTTTCAGCTTCGCGAGCTTTATTGACAGGGCCAACTCCGGTAACGGTATTTTTTCTGCTTCGCAGTTGCTCCGCGCTCTGTTAGGTCCCATCAAAATACAAACCCTGCCTCCTCGCTTTGAAGCGACTCTCCCCGTCCCCGCCCCCCAGCCTCTAGGCTAATGGCTCAGCTCACCGACTGTGGCGAGTGAAATTCCAGAGCCCTTCATGCCAAAGAAAGCACCTAGCGCAGGGTTGACACCCAGTGGGTTTTCATCAGCGATTATTTAGTCTGCTTTCCTTAAATAAATCGACCATCACGTCTCCCGTTAGCGTCTTAGTGAGACCGCAAGAGGTGTCATGTGTATAAAAAGAAACTCTGTATATGCAATAGAGTTGAGAAGACATGTAGAAAGGAGACTGGAAAAGTGTGCTCAAAACGCTGGTAATGGTTACCTTCAGAGAGGAGAACGATCGGCACGATGGTCAAAGCAGACTTTACTTCGAATTTCTTATTTATCTTTTTATTTTTAAACAAACATTATTGGCCGGGCGCGGTGGCTCATGACTGTAATCCCAGCACTTTGGAAGGCCGAGGGGGGAGAATCGCTTGAGGCAAGGAGTTCGAGACCAGACTGGGAAATATATCAAGAATCCATCTCAAAAAAAAAAAAAAAAAAATATATATATATATATATTCGTGTGTTACTTGAATAATTTTATTTTGTAAAACAGTTACATGAGTGGGGTGCGCTCAAATCTAATGATCCCCCACCTTGCCCATAAAGTTAAAAGAGATTCCGTGCGGCCGGGCCGTGGCTCACGCCTGTAATCCCAGCACTTTGGGAGGCCGAGGTGGGCGGATCATGAAGGTCAGGAGATCGAGACCCCATCCTGGCTAACACGGTGCAACCCCGCTCTCTCTAAAGAATACAACAAAAAATTAGGCCGGGAGTGGCGGCACCGTGTCAGTCCCACTGCTGGGGGACGCTTGAGGCCAGCGAGGAAAATGGCGTCCAACCGCGGACGGTGGAGCGTTGCAGTTGAGCCGAGAGTCTGCACCACCGCACTCCGAGGCGCTGTGGGGGCTGAGCGAAGACGTGTCTCAAAAAAAAAAAAAGGAGATCCCGTGCCGACTTCTGTTTGTTTGAGCCTCCCTCCTCACAGCCGTCCACCACATATTCTTGCCAATCTTCAGAGGAAAATTGGCCCAAAAAAAGATGGATGAGCCTACATCTGGAAGGAATTGACACATCTTAGAGTAGTAAGATGCTATTGGGCGAGAGAATTTAAATGAGCCATGTTCAGTTGACCATCTCCATGAACGTGAGAATGGTCATGAGAAATACCATTTCAGAAACTTGGGGAGCCAC